AAAATTACAAAATGTTGAAAGCGATCAAGGAGGCTCTCTATATCATCTTTATGGGTTAAAAGATTTAACACAGTAAAGATGTCAACTATCTCCAAATTGATCTATAAATTTAATGCAATTACTATCAAAATCACGGCAAGCCTTTTTGTAGACATAGATAAGTTTGTTGGAAAGTATATATGAAAAGGAAAAAACCTAAAATGGCTAAAACGATTTTGAAAAAAAAGAAAAAAGGTAAGGGAATTTACCTGATGTTAGGGCTTACTTATAGCTAAAGTGGATCACCACAGTGTGATTAGCAGAGGGATACATATTTGAACGAGAACAAAACAGAGAACCCAGAAATAGACCCATAAAGATGTGCTGAACTAAATTTTGACAAAGATGCAAAAGCAACTCAATGGAGGAAGAATAGCACTTTCAACAAATGGTGCTGGAGTAAGTTGATTATGGTGGAGGTTACACAAATCTATAAATATGACAAAATTGCATGGAACTAAACACACACAAGTGCATGTAACGCTGGAGAACTCTGAATAAGGTCTGTGGATTGTACTAATGTCATTCTCCTGGCTGTGTTACTGTACCGTTGTTAGCACTGGAGGAAACCTGATGGAGGGCACATATGACCTTTCTGTATTACTGTTATTTTTAAAACCACAGTCAGTTTTAGAATATTTTTAACACATCAAAAACAACCCTGCACCCTTTAGCCATCATTCCCCTATCTCCCTCACCACACTCTTAAGCAACCACTAACCTTCTTTCTGTCTCTATAGATTTGCCTCTTCTGGGCACTTCACATAGAGGGAATCATATAGTATGTGGTCTTTTGTGACTGGCTTCTTTCACTGAGCATAACATTTACAAAGTTGATCCATGTTGTAGCATATATCGGTACTTCATTCCTTTTCATGGCTGAATGATATTGCATTGTATGGATACAACATAAATTGTCTACCCATTCATCAGCTGATGCTTTGTGTTGTTTCTTACTTTTGGCTAACACTGCTGTGAACACCTATGTGTAAGTTTTTATGTGGATACGCACTTTCAATTTTCTTTGGTATATATTCATAGAAGTGGGATTGCTGGGTCATATGGTATTTCTATGTTTAATCAATTGAGGACCTGACAGACTGTTTTCCAAAGTGACAGTACCATTTTACATTCCCACCAGCAAGGTACGGCTGTTCCAATTTTTCCATATCCTCACCAACACTTGTTATCATCTGACTTTTTGATTCTGAGTTAGTTTTACAGCTTCCTGTGAATCTATAATAATTTCCAAGTAAAAAAAAAAAATGACTTGGTATATCTTGTTACAGGATAAATAATCATAGCTACAAGTCATAGTAATTTTGTTCATTTGCTAAAGCAACAATTTTCCCCTCATTTTTGTATCTTACTGTATTTCCCAGAACTTCCAAAATAATGTTAGAGGGTAATGAGATGGTGGGCACATTTATTCTGATTTCAACTCTTACAGCTTTCTTTCCTTTTTTTTTTTTTTTTTAAACAGAGTCTTGCTCTATTGCCCAGGTGGGAGTGCAGTGGTGCAATTTTGGCTAACTGCAACCTCTGCCTCCCAGGTTCAAACAATTCTCCTGCCTCAGCTACCCAAGTACCTGAGATTACAGGTGTGCACCACCACATCTGGCTAACTTTTGTATTTTTAGTAGAGACGGGTTTTCACCATGTTGGCCAGGCTGGTCTTGAACTCCTGACCTCAAGTGATCTGCCTCCCCTGGCCTCCCAAAGTGCTGGGATTACAGGCATGAGCCACCACGCCCAGCCTCTTATAGATTTCTCTCTAGCGTCTCTATTAAGTATGATACTAATGAGAGGTTTGATACCAATGAACCTCTATCATGGTGAGCAAGTACACTTATATTCCAGCATTTTAAAGAATTTTCAATAAGATGTTGAGTTTTATCAAACATCTTAGTGGCTTTATATAAAATAGTCATATGATATCATCTTATTTAAAGTCTTGATCTGATTCAGGTTCATTAATTCTTAATATTGACTAGTTCCTGCATTTTTTAGCTCTACCACTTTTAAAATAAGGCAAACTATGGTCACATAAATTATATTAAAAACAATTATAAAATAAAATGTCATACTAATGGGCCCACTGAGCAAAACACTGAAGTGAGCAATATGCTATTAACATTGTAGAAAGCAACAAAAATAAAATAAAAATTTGATTATTTAATATGTATATACAAGTTGCAAGTGCTTGGGCAGGCATGGTGGCTCACGCCTGTAATCCCAGCACTTTGGGATTACAGGAGAATAACCTGATGTCGGGAGTTCGAGACCAGCGTGACCAACATGGAGAAACCCTATCTCTACTAAAAATACAGAATGAGCTGGGCATGGTGGTGCATGCCTGTAACCCTAGCTACTCGGGAGGCTAAGGCAGGAGAATTGTTTGAATATAGGAGGCGGAGGTTGTGGTGAGCCGAGATTGCGCCACTGCACTCTAGCCTGGGTGACACACCATCTCAAAAAAAAAAAAATAGTTCCAAGTGCTGCCTATTTTCTTAATCCTTTCTTCTCTTCAAAGAGATGCAATTTTTAAAAAAATATAGAGAAAGAAGGGAAAGACGGAGAGAGAGGAGAGGGAAGGAAAGAGTAAGGAAGGAAGGGAAAAAAGGTCTCTCATGTTCTTGTTGTGCCTTAAGTAATTTCGTAAACGGAGATTTGGTTTGATCAAATCTGCAAGACCCTGCTATAACGAGAAGATCTTTGCTCTCTCTCAAATTATCCTAGTGACCATGCACCGATTTTTCTTAGGTTCTAAATTGTCGCTGGAGAACAAACTGATTTTTTCTACAATTTGGTGTTCAACTTCTCTTCCTAATTACAGATTTCTTTATGTTCTTTATTATCCTAAATTTACTAACCTACATACAAGCACATCGCTGAAACTGACTGTGTGTGAAGCCTGATGGTATTAATGGAAGACGATATGAATGTAAGAGATGAATTTAATACTGGGAGGACTACAGGGAAACTCAAGAAAATAAATGGAAATTGAAGCCATTAGCAGTGGACATGATGAAAATTTGTTTAATCTTTGTCCCTGCAAGGCATTGGAGCTCATTTACTACTGGATGCCCTTCACAATAATGAATGAAAAGCACAATTTCTAAAATGAGCAGATCTCCCCATGTGTTCAGGGCACAGATGGGAAGCTAGAACGGTGGAAGCAGGTGACTGCCTCTCAAATGGGGTCACTCCAACTAAGGCAGTACAGCTAGAGGCTGGGAACACCATCTGTGAATCAGGGAGACCTGAACTCAAGTCCTGGCTTCTTCAGTTACTAGCCTTATGGCCCCAACTGAATCACTGGATCTAGCTGGGCCTCTGTGTTCTCACTTATACAAAGAAGATAGTAAGGCTGGGTGCTGTGGCTCACACCTGTAATCCTAGCACTTTGGGAGGCCAAGGTGGGCGGAGTGCCTGAGCTCAGGAGCTTAAGACTAGCCTGGGCAATATGATGAAACCCTGTCTCTACTAAAATACAAAAAATTAGCTGGGTGTGGCAGCATGCACCTATAGTCCCAGCTACTTGAGAGGCTGAGGCAGGAGAATTGCTTGAACCCAGGAGGCAGAGGTTTCAGTGAGCCAAGATCGCGCCACTGCACTCCAGTCTGGGCGACAGAGTGAGACTCCGTCTCCAAAAACAAAAAGAAGATACTAATAGTAGTTTTGCCCTTGGGTTGTTGATAGGTTTGAATGAGATAAGCTTGATAGATGGCTGTTTACTAAACATTATTGCTGTTATTATTAATATTGATAAGTGGAGTCATTATTACCTAGATGGCATCAGTGCCATTCAAATATTCACTGATACTTTAAAACTGCCACTAAACGTGAAAGATTCAACCTCTCAATTATTTTTCTTAAAAACAAGGTGACTGACATATATTTTCTTCATTGCAAAGGCCCCAGCGATTCTGGGTGTAAAACTGAGAGCTAGTTTGGTTGATGTATTAATAACTAATCAGCATGCAGCATATGGCTTTCTGACACACAACTTCTTGCTATCTCCTCTCTCCAAATGAGGCAGCTTGCTCCAATGAGGAGTGGAGTCAAGAAAAATATCTTAGAGGACAATATAACTTCTTCTTTTGTAGTTCTCTTTGGCTGTGGGGAGAGACACCTTCTTAGTCTGGTCAGTTTTGTCCTTCCAACTTCAGTCCCTGGATGCAGCCGCAACACGGCTGGTTTGCTCCCATTTGCTGAAAGCAACACAAGAAGACTCACTATAAGTTAGAGCTTTCTCCAGGGCCCCAGGTGAGAGGCCAAAGGGGCCAAAGCAAAACAAGTAGAAATATGTGAAACCTAATAGTTAGACAACTAAAGAGAGTATCATTTCCCTGAGGTTAGGAAAAGCAAAGGGGTAACAAAGATAACCAGAAGAGTTGTCAGTCAAGTGAAGATGACAGCCATCAAGGGCCAACCTGGGCTTGCTCACAGGTGCAATTTCAAAGACATGCCTCTTATCCTCTAGTAGGAAAACAGAAAATTCCCATGAAAACAGACCTGAAGGCCGTAAAATCCCAAGTCCTGTCTTAAAGTATACAAACGAAGCATCATATTTACTACATGAATTCGATTTGGTCTGCAGTGGTGAAGAGCCTTCACTTAGTCCACAGGACTCTTGACAGTCATAAATGAAACATTGTCAGGAGAAGGAGTAAGAAGGAAAAGTGAACTCACTCCTTCAGGGACTTTATAGCCCTGACAGCGATCTGAGCCAAAGCCCAGCTGCCCAGGGGCTCCTGGACAGCAGGGCTCACTCACCAGCCCGCACGTCATACCCCTCATGGCTGTGGTGCAGCTAAACGCAGGTCAGCACTAGCCAGATGTTCCACCCGCAAATGCTAGCAGGGTGAGCAGGACAAACCAGACTTAACAGCAAATGCTTGAATCAAAGAAAAAAGAAGTGGCCGAGGTGAACACCCTCCCCATTCTGCCCAACTCACCTTCACCAGGAAGAAGGACACACCATATGTGCGGAGGGACCGTGCAAGTTTGACGTACTTGACCTTGGCTTCTATCTCACTCATCTCTCCGCAGTTCTTATGCTCCTGCAAAAGTGACAACAGCCAGGACCAGTTATTGCATCTCTGCCAGCAGAGAGAGGTAGTTATTGTACGTGGTGGACACAGTGGCTAGGAATGATCATTAAGTGATGTTTGTGTCTGAGACCCCTCCATGACACAGGCAACTGCTGACCAAGGATCAGAGCACACAGGAAGTTCTAACGTAGGGATTTCAAACCAGAGTTTGAGCCCAAGTAGCCCACATTACTTCACAACTAAATACGACAATTCACGCACACATGCAGTGTGGTGGGAACAGGGTCCATAACCGCAATCACATTTTCAAAGGACTCCACGTCCCAAATGGTTGAGGGCCAAGACTTTAAATGATACCAAGAAAAATGTTCTTCTCAGGAGAGGTGTCATTCTAACATCCATCCAAAAGGTATTGGCTGGGTGTGGTGGCTCATGTCTATAATGCCAACACTTTGGGATCAAGGTGGGTGGATCATTTGAGATTAGGAGTTTGAGACCAGCCTGGCCAACATGGTGAAACCCCATCTCCACTGAAAATACAAAAATTAGCTGGGTGGTGTGGCACATGCCTGTAATCCCAGCTACTTGGTAGGCTGAGGCACGAAAATCACTTGAACGGGGGCGGGGTAGGGGGTAGGGGATAGGGGGTAGGGGTGGGGGGTGGGGGGGTGGGGTACGGAGGTTGCAGTGAGCTGAGATCACCCCATTGCACTCCGTCTTGGCTCTGCTTCAAAAAAAAAAAGTATAATTTTCTAAAGAATAGGATAAATACATGTCTGTACACGATAGTACTCAGAAACAATACTGGAGAAAAGTATGTTTTATATGCATGAAATTTGTATTTTAATTTATATTTACATTTCAGGATCAAAGACGACTTTGGTATCTTGGATTCCTTAGAGTGTTGCACGCCAAAGTTTGTGTTAAGGCTTTTCTCACTGGTTGTGTAGACTGGACAACTCTCTGATTTTTAGAATAATCCTGGATTTTTAAAAGGCGCTAATTTCCAAATTCCAGTTTCTAAAAACAAATCTCAGGACAAAGAGGCTACTTGTAGATCCTTCCTCAGTGCATGTTAACGGTCTATCACCTTGTTTCAATGTTACCAAGATAATGCCTTTGAAATTAAATGTATGCACATTTTCCTCAGAAGGGCTAGGTAACCTTTAGCAAGAAAATATGGATTAAGATAATAAATCTGCCCAAAGTAGAACTGTCAGCTTCTTTACTCTTGAGTCAGTAATCATTTATTATATAAGAGTACAGGCACGAGGTATAAAACTATTATGCACAGAGGCCCCCTCATACTAATAAATGAGGATGGGGAGTGAGGAGAATAATAAAGTTCTGTACATTTCCAATACCTGAAAGATCCTCTTTTCAGCTCCTCTCTGCTTGATATATTCTTTGGGCAGGAATTCCTTCAGACTAAGAGAGAGACATTGAAAAAGGAAAGGCATTTATCATGTTCTATGATGAGAAGCAAAGCAAAGACATTTAATAAAACTCACAGTTAACTCACTAAGTCTCCCAATATTTTACGGAGTAATTAATAACAGACTGCTATATCCTACGATGCACTTGAATAAGGACACGGACGTAAAACTAGTATGATAGAAAAGGTCAAACTAACATATTTAAAGAAGAAAGAATTTCCAGGATCTATTGTAAAGTGGAAAAAAAAAAAAAAGAGCACAAGAGTATATAGTATGCTGCCTTTTGTAAGAAACGAAGGAGATACTTATTTTGAAAACATTATTTTCTATTGTCTACATATTTTAAAAAAATACAAAGATAAACCTAGTTCTAATAAAAATGGTTCTCCGTGGAAGAGGGGAAAAACAAGGAGAAGGGAACAAGGATGGAAACTAAACTTCTGTATTTCTTATATTATAGTTTTCACTTTAGAACCACATGAAATTGCAAAAAAAAAAAAAAAGCAACATCTAAAAATCTAAAGCAAACTAAAACCGTCTATCAAGTTGACAGCATAACTACAGGGAGAATAATTATGTCAAGTAACTTTGCAAAACAGTCTTTTGACTGTATATCCCTCGTAGGATATTACGGACAAAATAAACCATAGTAGATTTGTTAGTAAAAATATTAGTATTTCAAATTAACATCTACTTTCCCTCCTGTCTATACATAAACACACACAATAAAATTAGGATATTACACTATATATAAGTAGGATGTTATATATAATTAGGATAAAGAAAATGAGTAATTATGGTTGTTGTTAGGAACCAAGTTTTTCAGCATAAAATAGATAAAAATAAACAAAATGCAAAAAGACTTGGCTAAACATTCTGCATCTTTTATTTGAACTGGAAATACTAGCCTGAGTACCTGATTCATTTTTCTTTTCCTGAAAAACATTTTCTAGCTACGTCCCCTTTAAAGGCCAGGAGCAAGAACAACCTGACAGCACCCTGTGCCCCCACCACCCCTGCTGGTGTCTAGGCCAGGTGGTCTTCTAAATACTATTTCCACTAAAAGGAACCAAGTCTCAGATAAATCACTGATTCTTGGTCTGAGGCAGAAAATGTATAAAATGTTCCTGGGACTTCTTGTGGCTTGAATCAAGGAAGTTACCAAGATAATACTGGAGCCAGTATCAATGAATTCCCATTAGCCAAAAATTGGATGATTTAAAACTGTATATTGAAAAAGAGAGAAGAAAATAATAAACCCATCCATCCAGCCTCGACAGTTATCAACTCATGGCCAATCATGACTCATCTATTTCCCCATCCCACTGACCTCCCCTGGATTATTCCGAAGCAAATCCCAGACATCATATAATTAATACCATGTGATGGGACAATTTAAGCATCAGAAAAAGGATGACTGCAGTAAGTTAAAGCGCAGATATTTAATATCTACAAAGATTTTTTAAAAAATCATGGTCACCTTAAGAGACTGCTATGGTCCCAACTCATACCGAAAATTATAAATGAAGGGAAAGAAACAAGTATTTATTCTGATGTTTCTAAATGTTGATGAGGGCAAGAATCACAGCTAATAAATGTAGAAAAAATAAAAGAAGTCCAAAATCATCATTATACAACTCTTACTGAAATAACTGATAGATCAAAGCAAATTTCAATGACTGTAAGACAAAAAAATAACAAGTTGATCAGGAACTTTTTAACAGATTGATCGCTCTGATGACATCTAAACCCAATGATCAATTTTAATATTAATCAAAGTAGGATAACCAGATAATATATGCCTCCCAACTGATACAAAAGGAAGTATACAGCACCACCTAGGAAGTATTCTTGGCAATAAAGAATAAGTAAATACATAATTAAAACTGAATTTAATTGAGTCCCTAAATCTAAATAACGGTTTACAAAAAGAGTAGGGGAACATGTTCAATGATACCATCAGGATACAATTAGCCAAACCCAAACACAAGAAATTCTATGAAAATAACTTAGCTTCTTCAAAAATAAATAGTTTGGTAGTAGTGGTGAAAAGGAGGGCATAATAATAAACTAAAAGAGATATAAGAAATATATTTACCTACAAAGCTCTAGTAACAAAGACAGTGCAGTAATGATGTAAGAACAGATACACAGGTCAATAGAAAAGAATTGAGAGTCCAGAAATTAACCCTCACCTTTACAGTCAACTGATTTTCAACAAGGGTTCCAAGACAATTCAGTGGGGAAAGAATACGTTTTTAAACAACTGGTGCTGGGACAACAGGATGTTCACATGCAAAAGACAGAAATTGAACCCCATACCTCATACTATACACTAGAATTAACTCAAAATCTATGATAGACCTACATGTAATAGCTAAATCTATAAAACTCTCAGAAGAAGATACAGGAGTAAATCTTTATGACCTTGATTTAGGCAGAGAGTTTTTAGATATAATACCAAAAGCACATGTAGTAAAAGAAAAAAAAAAGGACTATTTCAAAATTATAAACTTTTAAATTGCAAATACCACCATCAAGAAAGTGAAAATACAATCCATAGAATGGGGGAAAATATTTGCAAATTATTTATGAGGAAATTGCAATATATTGCAATATATGCAGAATATATAAAAACCTTTAACTGATAATGAAAAGACAAACACTCAATTAAAAACGGGCAGAGGACATGAACAGACATTTCTCCAAAGAAGAGATACAAATGGCCAATAGACACATGAAAGTATGTTCAACATTATTAGCCAACAGGAAAATGCAAAAAAACCCACAATGCGATACCAATACATACCCACTAGGAGGGCTACAATAAAAAAGATGTACAACAGCAAGTGTTGGCAAAGGCATAGAGAAACTGGAACCCTCATACACTGCTGGCGAGAATATAAAATGGTACAGCTGCTGTAAAAAAAAAAGTTTGATAGTTCCTTAAAATATTATGCAGCAATTCTACTCCTTGATGTATGCCCAGAAAAAAATGAGAACACTTCCACACAAAAACTTGCACACAAATGTTCACAGCAGCATTATTAATGAGAGCCAAAAGATGAAAATAACTCAAAAGTCCATCAACTAGTGGATAAAATGTGGTTTCTCCATACAATGGAAAATCATTTCTATCTAAAGGAAGTACCGAAATATGCTACAACATGGAAACACTATGCTAAGGGGAAGAAGTCACTCACGAAGGAAAAGTTGTATGATTTCACTAATAAGAAAGAAAGAGAGATTCCAAGTTCGTCAGCAGGAGGGATCTAAGAAATATCTAATCTGCAGCAGTTTAGACATTAAAATTATCATTAAGCAACTTCATGGACAAAAATGAACGATTCAGAGAGAGCTGGAAGGCACCATCACCACCAAAGAGGAAGCTGAGTTTCAGAGAGGTAAAGACTTGGCTGAAGGCACAGGACTTGTGAGTAAGTAGCAGAGAGCCTCTGACCTCCCAGAACAAGAATGGGTCCACCTGAACACACAGCTGCTTCAGGCTTTCTCACGGGCCCATTTAAAATAAGGAAGTGGTATCATGAGAGAACCGCTGCTGCCAGCCTCTAGGTAGTGGCTCCTACATCAGCAACAGAGACGCGGTTAAGGGTAGCAAAAGCGCCCAAAAAGGGCTCCATGTCAAGCCTTCTCAGAGCAATGATTGTCACTAGAAGAATACCAGATGGTGGTGTCCAGGGGACCAGCAGGGTAGAATATGCTGACCATCTATGGCAAGAAAGTCCTGTACTGCAGCAAGCTCCCTTCTTTCAACCTCCGCCAAACCAGCCCATCTGAATCTGCCTCCTATGCAGTCCTCAGGAGTTACTGAAAACAACATCAGAAGGTGCACTAGAGGTGTGACCCCTGAGGTTTCAAGAATTGGTTTGTGGGGAATTTAAAAACCATTTTAAGATATGAATGGTGTGTGCATGTGTGTGGCGTGTATTTTCCCCAGTAAATCAGCCATGTGCGCCACTTCAGCACAAAGCAGGAGGGAGCAGGCAGGGTGTCATCAAGGCCTGCCAGCCAGCAGCGCGGTAGTTCCAGCTCAGTTGTTGTTTTGATTACCAAACCTGAGTCTGGAAGGCTCCTAACATCTGGGACATGTATACAAGTGCAATCTGTCAGCCTTGTCAGAGAAAAAATGGGTCAGACTGTCAAACCTGATTGGAAATATTCCTAAGTAAGTAAGTTCTGGCCAAGCAAAATCCCTCCCACTGTCTCCTTAAATGTCCTCACCTTAAAAGGGCAGCCATCCACAAACTGTGCATTGAGAACTCACTTCTCTGCCAAACTCTACTGCCAGCCTTTTAAGCATGGCCCTTTCTGAATGCAGTCATAATAACAGTAAAGTCAGTACACTAATCTCTAGAAGACTCTCTAAGATCCATGAGGGTGAAAGTTTGCAGCCGACAGACTCCTCTCTCACAAACCCCGACTTCTGCTCTGGTCAAGTCCACTGTATTTGTTCTCCAGTTTGCTGCAGCTGCCTGGATAGCACATGATTATGTGACATACTGACATAGCCCATGAGCTGCTGAAACAGTACAAAAATTGAGCTACTGCATTCTTCCTAAAGGTAATAGTCATAAAATGTATTAAATGACATATAGATGAGACAACTGTTAAATACTGAAAAGGAAAAATATCATGGAAATCTATTCTGTCCTCAGATTGCTTCATGGTTGTCTTTAAATTCCCTCACAGATGATGCATTATGCATGGTTCATGCAAGACACTGTAGAAATCCAATCAGGAGATTCACACAAGAAAAAACCTTAGCCCTACATCAAAACACTAGCCACACATGTATAAGTTCACAGTTAGAATAATGGGTTTCAAGCAGTAGATGTCACCTGTTATGATTCTACATTTTAAATGACTTTTTGGATTATCCAACTAATAGTCCAAACCAGATGGAGAGAGTTTCTGCAATTAAAACAGCTGCCATGTACTGAAGGCTAAACCCTGTTTCAGGTGCTTTACAAG